GAGAGAGAGAGAGAGAGAGAGAGAGAGAGAGAGAGAGAGAGAGAGAGAGAGAGAGAGAGAAAACAGATGTGCGTGGGATGGTGTCTTTCTTCCAACCTTCTGTATAATTGATGGTGTCTTTCTTCCAACCTTCTGTATAATTTTTTATTTCAACATTGCCCAATTTTGTTGCGGCAATTGCGGATGTCCTACTGAATCGCCGTGGATTTTCTGCTTCTTGTGTGTGTTGTCGAAAGAACTTGCGTCCTTCTCCCACCCCTTCTCGGGTGGTCTTTTGAGTTTCCCATTCTTGTTTTGCTCAGTGGTGCCAGCTTAATCCAAATTTCGTTGCTTTCTAGTATCCATCTGCGCTGCACGATAACTCCGGTTCGAATTGGATATGTTCATCATGCATGTTTTGTTTGATTGCCAGCCTTTGATTCTTGTGTGATCCCGAGATTGTTGTGATGTGTTGGTCCTCGACGCCGAAGAGGTTGCTCCTTTTCCTTTCTTTCGTTACCCAATAGCATGGATATGCGTGTAATGGCTGGATCTCACTCGGAATAACGATGTCTGCAAAAAAGAAAAAGGGTAGTTGCATGCATGCGGGATAGGATCGATACGCCAACAAGACCGCTCACCACGAACCCAGCGACGCGGAAGGACAAGGTCCGAGCCATTCCCGCTCATGCGCGCGCTCGCGTATGACAACGATCCAATAAGTGGAGTCGCGATATACGCGCGCGTCTGCACGAGTCGACCTCGGCCTTGCTTCACCTTAAGAAATGCATGCCCGCCAGATAGGAGATGGTTATAGAAGTGCCCTTCTGGGTCACCGATCATGAGAGCTTAAGGGATCCGGATATCGTGAATACTGGGAGAGGGAACAACTTAGACGATGGGGGAACCTGAGAAATCCTGAATATCCCTGTCAGACTGAAAACAATCGACTGTGTGAGGGGGATTTTCAATGGGCTATAGGCAGGGATCCTAGGATCCCAGACTATCCGAACACCAGTAATACCCAATATTATATATCTTTGGGTTTCGTTGCTATCAATACCGATTTCCCTCCCTTCTATCTTCTCTTTCCGTATCACCAGCTCACAGTAGTACCGTGAAATTCCATAGCTCGCTATTGGCCCCGCACGCCGTGCGCGGAGTGCCAGCAAGACCACGTGTATCGAGCCTCGGGATTTATCTGACGAACCCGAACCGGAGCCGAGCAGCGCGCGCACAGCCTCCATCTAAGGCCAGCCTCGTCGGATTCCGAGGCTTGCTACGAGCGACGCAAACAACTGATCGGACAACGTGACACGCATAGCGTTCCGCCGGTCCACCAAATTCGCATCCGCCCCCGGCGACGGAGCCAGCAAAGATGGTAACTCCATTTTCCACGACTTTAAGGCCGGACGCGCCTGGTGCCTACCATCTTACACAACTGCCCCTAAAACTCGCCATAGGAGATCTCAGTTCCGACCTGGGACTCCACCCCCACTTTCCTAAAATCCTTGGCACACCCCCTTTTCGCACTTTCGGGTCCCCATCTCACTCCGATCAGGAATTCGCGCAGGGCGTGAGGTTGGGCGTCACAATCCTACCTCAGGACCTGCCTTCGCAAAATGGTCCACAGTCAGTCATCCCCTTTTTTTTTTTTTTTTTTTTTTTTTTTTGGGGAACAAGGCTCCGATCTATTCGTGGGGAGCAGCACGTGCTGGGAACCGGGCCCAGCGTCCCATATGAAAATTTACATATGATTTTGAAGATTGAGATACCGGGGCCATTACCCGGCTTTAGCTAAAAAAAAACAGTCAGTCATCCTACCAGACCATCGGGTTAGTTCTCAGAGTAGTTGGCGGTGCTAGCCACGCAATCTGTTTTAGGGCCAAGGACATCCAAGGAGTTTTAGGATTGAACAGTAATCGCCCAATCAATTGAACCGACAACGCCATATACTAAGTAGAGGGGTCAAGGATACCTGGCCCACCTTCAGCCTTAGGTTGTATGACTGATTGCCCTGCAACCCTGCTAATGGCATTCCTACACTCATGGTTACCCCTCCATAGATAAGGTGTTATTTGTCTCTGCAAGGAACGGAGGGCTCCTTTATCTAGAAACCATATCGCTGATTTGTCCCATAAGCAGGCCAAAACAACATTATTGATGATCAGCGAACACCCTAAGAGAGAAGTATCCTTCTACAGAGCCAACTTGCTAGGGCAGGTTGCATGGTCCCTTTTCTTTTCTTTTTTTTTTTTTTTTTTTTTCAAAAACAGTCCGGCTGCTAGGGAGAGTGATACGAGCGCCTCCCCCTAACAGTCTACCTGGATGCTCCAGTCTATTGGTGGGGAGCCGCACCTGCTGGAAATGGGGTCCAGCGTCCCTTTTTTACATCAAACGCCTGAGTCTCCATAAGAACTTGTTGAAAGTGACATCCTACCAGCATTGATTACCCTGATTGCCAGGGGACTGACTGAACAGGTGG